TGTTTTACTAAGTACAACCACGTATGCAGTCAAAACATAAACAATCAAATTGTAAACATAGCAGACGAAAATCTTACAGATTACAGCTTTCTCGGTAGACAATCTCATGTTTATAAGTGTGTGATACTGTATCTCTGAATACAGCCTCATGAAAGGGACTGCACATGCAATTTCAAGTGACCCCTCACAAGATTACCTTTTACATAAGCTTTAGTCTGATTATTGACGTGGACAATTTCTTATTTTTCAGACTGAACTTGAGCGCTGGAATACTGTAGGTTACAGCTTATACACACTACACTCACACATTTCATACGAGCCTTCATGACGGGTCTCACTCTCATGTACACTTTTTAGAATTGGGTTATATAAGATCACGTTTACAGACCTTTAAACTCGATTATGGACTGTTATGAAAAATGCTGTAAAATGTATGCAACAAAAACAAAAGAGTAATCTTCTTGTATAATATAAACTATATAAAATTACAAAATTAATAAAAAGTTTTAAAAAACTTGACCGTTTTTATATATTTCGCGCAAACTGTAAGAAAATGTTTGGATGTGACCAAACCTTACGAGTAAAAGAACCCGTATATTATGAACATTTTTCAAATTTTTGATAAAAAACTAATTTATTTCCTAGTTCTTTGCTCCTCTTATCACCTATTCACGGAGTTGACAAATATATTGAGAGTTATCATAAATATGTCCAGGGTTGTTTAAATTCCGCCATCTTGAAAATAATGTCGTCTTAGTTGTATTTAAAGATAAACTTGCCCGGTTTATACAGTTTACACTTTAACTGAGTAAGAGATCACACCTTTGTGAGGATATTGTGCATCTTGTACGCTTGATCTCGATATCCAATGTTGGCATCTTTAAATTTGAAAATGAATTATTGATCCCTAAATTAAATTTATCCCTGCAGGTTATGACCTTGACGGTATATTAAAGAGTTGATCTTTACAAGACACTCGATACAATAAAAAACCCGATATTTCATCGGTCAGAGTACACACTGCACTACACACCAAAAACTCAGTGGAAGGTGAAGTCGTTTTATTTATTCTTTTGTTTATTCAGTCATGTACTCGTTTTATTTATTCTTTTGTTTATTCAGTCATGTACTCGTTTTATTTATTCTTTTGTTTATTCAGTCATGTACTCGTTTTATTTATTCTTTTGTTTATTCAGTTATGTACTCGTTTCCTTTATTCTTTTGTTTATTCAGTCATGTACTCGTTTTATTTATTCTTTTGTTTATTCAGTCATGTACTCGTTTTATTTATTCTTTTGTTTATTCAGTTATGTACTCGTTTCCTTTATTCTTTCGTTTATTCGGTCTTGTACTTGTTTCCCTTATTCTTTCGTGTTTCGGTCATGTTCTCGTTTCCTTTATTCTTCGTTTATTCGATCATGCACTCGTTTCCTTTATTCTTTCGTTTATTCGGTCTTGTACTTGTTTCCCTTATTCTTTCGTGTTTCGGTCATTTTCTCGTTTCCTTTATTCTTCGTTTATTCGATCATGCACTCGTTTCCTTTATTCTTTCGTTTATTCGTTCATGTACTCGTTTCCTTTTTTTTCGCTTATTCGTTCATGTACTCGTTTCCTATTTTCTTACGTTTATTCGTTCATGTACTCGTTTCCTATTTTCTTTCATTTATTCGGTCATGTACTCGTTTCCTATTTTCTTTCGTTTATTCGGTCATGTACTCGTTTCCTATTTTCTTTCGTTTATTCGGTCATGTACTCGTTTCCTTTATTCTTTCGCTTATTCGGTCATGTACTCGCTTCTTTCCTTTATCTGGTCATTTATTAAACATTTATTAAAAAACTTAACAAACGAACCCAACACTCCTTTTCTAATCCTATTATTTTTGGAACTTTGATATTTTAAACCAACAGATTTGATAGTATTAAATTAAGGTTTACAGCATCAGTAAAGGAGGAGAGAAATTAATTTCTTTCTTTTTGTTAAAATATGTCCATTTTCTGAATTGTTTGTACAAAAAACTAATTACAAACGGCTGAACCAGTTTAATTAAAATTGTAGGTGAGAAGGTTTTTGCTCTGTAAATTATAAGAATATTTCCTTAAAAACTTAATCTTTGAACACATTTTGCATAAAAAAATAACATGTTACTGTGCTTGTTTTGTTTTGAATGAAAAAAGAAAAAGAAAGCGTCCTTGAAACCCTTGTAATATAGTCAGCAAAATGTAACCTCAGGTCATAAATATCTTTAATAAATTATAGTTTACGACTTGAGACTTATTTCCAAGATGGACAAGGCGGGTTTACAGCTTAATCTTTATACACATCACCAACCATTATCCAATAACTCTATCAAATATGAAAATTAATGACTATATTCTTTTTGACCATCTATTAGATGTATTTAATTACGAAAAATCAATTTGATTTGTAAAGATTAAGAAGATAAATGAATCTGAATAATGGTTGGATATATATTGATAAACATCTTTATTTCATTTTTCAAATTTTCAAGGATTCTACTTTGTACAGTGCCTACAGTACATTGTACACTGTACAGTATATTTACAATTAATAGTAGAACAGATTTAAAACATCGGATTTAAAGGAATTGAGTCTTTGCCACAAATTTAAATTTTCTAATAGCTTTATCTCTACAACCAGATAATGTAAACCTTTGATATTTCAAACTTAGATTATTTGATCCACCAGAATTCATAGTTTGAAATAACTAAGAACTACGACACTGGGTTGGGAAGATACAGGGATTAATAAATCAGAGTTTGTGATAAAGACTCTATTCCTTTAGAGTAAAAATCAGTTTCTGTAAAAAGGGAAAGTCGACGTAATTTTAAAAGGTCCTCCATTAAGGTACCCCTCATGCAATTTACAACACTGCCCTTTCAACCTTTATCTGAGAAAAATTAACAAATTCTTGTTTTCTGTCCGAAAATTGATATTTCACCATTCTGTAAATTTAAACAGCAGAGGCAAAGAATAAAATTGTTGAAATTTAACTCGTTTCCAGAGAGAAAAACGTGGGGGGGGTCCAAAAATCGTTCTCTAGGACAGACCCCGATTTCGCCCTCATTATTTTTCAGTTAATGGGTACCGTTGTGAATCGGGCATGCACCACTTTAATGGGGGCACGAAATTCCGCCCTTCCTTTCACATGAAAACGATTAGATATACTAAAGAGAACTCTTAACTCTTGATTTCCCATATATGGGATTAGATATATTAGAGAAAACTCTTAACTCTTGAGTTCCCATATATGGGATTAGATATACTAGAGAGAACTCTTAACTCTTGATTTCCCATATATGGGATTAGATATACTAGAGAGAACTCTTAACTCTTGATTTCCCATATACGGGATTAGATATATTAGAGAAAACTCTTAACTCTTGAGTTCCCATATATGGGATTAGATATATTAGAGAGAACTCTTAGCTCTTTAGTTCCCATATATGGGATTAGATATACTAGAGAGAACTCTTAACTCCTGAGTTCCCAAATATGGAATTATTCTAAAACATCAAGAGGCCTACTTGACAGCGGGGGGTTGAAAGATCTAATTAAAGGATATTTATAGCTTTGTTTATGTAAATAGATTCTTGGATTAGTGTACGCACTATATACGCTGCTATATACGGGGCCATGAATACTAAATTAAATTTTATGGTTTATGAAAAAAATTGGTGCTCAGGGCTGTTTTGTTATTGTTTTAAGCAATATAAATTACTTTCATGACTATAAGCTGAAGGTGATGATAGGATGATGAGGGAGGGGGGAGGGGGGAGGGGGAGGGAGGTTTAAGACCAGACAATAACCCTATTTTGATCAAAATTTAAAATTTTCAACACTATAGTAAAGATTTAGTTTGTTGTGCTGTTTACGAAGTTTATAGACATTCATTAAATTTATTTTTAGTTTCAATCTTTTTTAATGTCATAGCTAGCCAAACGGCTGAACCAAATGGGCTGACATTTTTTGAGGGAACCCTTGAGTACCCTAAGGTTAACTGCATAGATTAGAAAATATTCTTCAAAAATCGAAATTTTTTCTCTATTTTTTATTTTACGGGCAACGCCGGGCACTTCAGCTTGTTGTTCAACTCAATTCCCCTGTCATGAATATTGTCTTAATGGCATGATACATTATTTGGCAGAGAGCCACAAATTTCTAATTTTAATCAAAATTCTACTTTAATGACTGTTAATTACTTCATTACGAAAATGTCCCCGCCCTAATGAGGAAAATATGGGACGATCTGACAAAAGTATCAAAATTCAAGAAAATTATTTTGAAAGAATCAGAGTCCAATGGCCATAGAGAATAGAATATATAGAGAGGAATTTACTGGAAAAAAGTGTAAAACGGCCATTTTGTTGTACTGTTTCCATACTGCAGGTGTACTTCACATATTTATGCAATATAACCTTTTGGGCCCTGGAATATCATTATATAGAAAATCTAAAATTATTGTTAAAAGGAAACCAAATTATGAAATAGGCTGGTTTTATAATTGACCAATGATCATTTCACATAGACTCTATGCCTTCCACTTTACAAACGATGATTTTCCGTTATAACTATAAATCAAATGATGTTTTTATTCACCTAATTCATTATAAAGTTTATTTAACAGTTTAAAAAATTCGAAATTGAAATGGATAGAGAACATACAATAGGGAACATACTCTACTGCATATAATTTGTAAACATTTACATGATTTGTACACTTTGAACTCCCTTTTAGGCTGAAAGGGACTGAAAAAATTCATACCGGGAGATTCTTTCAATTCCTCTCTATATATTCTATTCTCTATGCCAATAGCACTTTTTCTCTTATATGTTCATTCTTAAATCTTGGTTCATTTTAAACCTTTTTTAAACAACAAAAAGCAAAAGATATTATCAAAGCTAAATAAATTGGTCAAGTTTCATCTAAAAAAATATGTCTACTGGCGATTTGATCTAATGAAAGCTTTATTTTTATAAATATTTAACAATAACAACAATAAAAGCTTAAAACAATAGTTAACATGTTTTAATAGATAATATCTAAATAAATAGTTTTAATTTTAATTGATTAAATATAGAAAGTAGATAAAAAACGAGCTATTAGAACTAACAAAACAAATAAATTATAAAAATCTAAGCATGGTTTAGATTTATAAAATCTTTGATCTGGTTTTCTATCCTGCTCAGGGAGCATCGATGCTTTCTTTTATTGCTGCAGAAGCATCAAGCTTCTTGTCATCAGTAACAGAAGCATCTTCCAAACTTCTTCTTCTAAACCCCTGTAATAAACCCCTGTAATGCAAGAAAGTTGAAAACATGGTGTCAAGGCAAAAACTATTTAGTTACCACGTTTAAAAAGCAATAGAAAATAAAATAGAAAATTCCAATATTTTCTTAAAATAGTAACCACCACCCCCTCCCCTTTATCCTTCTACTTTTGTGTATATTCAGCGATAGCCCCCCTGTTTTTCTGGACGAGTATAATAATCTTTTAATGGTCCCATCATTTCCACTGTCCTTAGATGATTTAAATAGATAATAATAGAAAAGATTTTTTTACCTTGTCATTGTAAACCTGATAATCCTCCCTCTCATCGTAGTTTTCATAATAATCATCATGGGAGGGTGTAGAACCAGAACTCAGGGATGCACTAAAATACATAATAGAAATGATAAAAGGTAGACAAATTATGGTACGCATGGTAGGCAATACAATAAAGACGACTTTTGATTTAAATTTATATTAAGCTGTTAAACAGCATGGATACACATAAACTTAGAAGTCAAGAGAAGCTGTCGATTAAAAAAGCTTCTCTTTGATTACTTGTAAACTTGTAATTTGAAAAAAGCTGGAATACAATCAAAACTTAAATAAAAAATTCGTCATCATTGTAATGTAGGAACAAAAAATTAGAAAGTCTTATCTTTAGTTTAGAAATCCACATGTCAAGTAATAGAAGACTAATATTCCAAGTAAATACTAAAAATCTTAAATATCAAAATAAATGTTAATCGACAAAGGTTAATTGAAATTAATTTCTATTCTTTTTAAGTTTGACCAATAATAATAATCAAAAGTCTTAAAACAGATATCGTTCAAAAAAGGGTAAGAATTGAACGCCGAAAACTTACAACTAAAATTAACTGAAGAAAAATGTCAACACTATAAACTGATAATTTGTAACTCAAACCATTCAAATATTTTTAAAAACAACACTTGCAGAAAACTCAACCCAGAACTCAAAAGCTGGGTTTGCAAAACCCAGTTTTTGAGTTTATGAAGTATACTAGATGTGAACGTATGAATAACCAAAGATTTACACAATCAGGCTGTAAAGATATAAGGATTTAAAAATTACATTTTGGAGCTAGTGCAAAATCGTTACTTAATGTTGCAACGCGACTCCTAGTGTTAACTTAATAATTTTTTGTTTTTTAAAATCATTTTCGAAAAGTATGTTCAGAATAAGAAATTAACCTGTTCCATGTTGGATAAATGTTATTTGCTGGGTTTCCTGGTTTTATCATTGGTGGCGAGCTTCTAGCATCGTCTGAGTACTCATTCAACTCTGTTACAGAAACAAAAACGTAAAATTTAATGAAAATTGACTATTTTTATAGTTTCCGATTTTTCCTGGGTCAATTAGGTTCAGTACAGGCCTTACGAAACCTTTCCTGAAGCTGTTTAGGATAATAAACTTTTTAAAACTTTTAGAAATTACTTTATATCTATACTTAAGATGACTCTGTCTAAATTTATAAAACTAATAATAATGTCGTCTTTTGTAAAACTGTTTTATGTAAATTTATATTTTCAAATGTCATAAAAGTACATAAAATATTGAAAAACTGAAAAGATGCTAAGCCACCGACCCCCTTCACTACCATTTGCTGTATATTCAGGGATAGTAATTGCCTTGTCAGTGTCATAGTTATTAATTTAATTCAAGTTTATTCTTATTTTTAGAAGCTCTACAGGAATCTACAGGAATCAAATTAGACCGCGTCAATGGGTCTAAATTACGATTTGGGGGACAAATCAGAAAATTTAAGGAGAATGAATCATTTTGAAAAATTTTATAAGGCTAATAGAAATTTTATAAGGCTAATAGAAAATTTTTTTTGCAGAAAATGCTAGATTTTTTTTAGTATAATGTGCGTATTTAGGTGCTAAAGATTGGAGATAATCTAATATGATATGGGACGCTCTGTATAAGATGTTTCAAAGATGTTTATTCAGTTTCAAAATTGCGTTATTTTAAGTGTGATTATTTTACATATTATGCTAAGGCATGAAAGATATTAATCGAAAAGATTTATCAAAATAAAAAACTGATTGTTTTTATTTTTCCGTTTTGGCAATATCTCATAATATGATATCAGATATGAATCTATAACATATTTAAAACAATATTGTTTGAAACTGGAAGGGGTAAACCTATAATAAATTTTTTTTAAGTTATCACCACGCTATCTTTCTCTACTTATCACTCAATAACTTGTCATACAGTCATCATCGTATATAGTATTGAAGACGACTTTCTATTATAATTTTGATCTCTACCTATCTAGCTCAAACAACATAGATACAAATAAACATATAAACAAAAAAAACTGTAATTAACAGCTTCTCTTGGTTTAGTTATTAGAAATCGAAACTTAAATAGAAAAGTCGTCTTTATATTATTGATATTATCGCTGATATGATAATACCCCTTAGTCCCCGCGGACCTCCACACCCCCTAATTTTCGTTGCGCTGGAATTTGTAAAAATAAAAAGCTAATTCGTTTTTCTTTAGAAGTATTCTATCATCTACAATCAATCAGAAAGTTTTCCAATTACACCAATTTATACTTTTTTTTATTAATTCACGTTCTTTTTCCTTTTCCTTCTCTCTCTTCTCGTTTGAACATGTCGTCTTCACCATAGAAATCCCCGAAAGTGTCCGCGGCACCAGATTCAGATTCTTGGGGTACATCTCCAAACCGGTTTACTTGTTGTCCGGCAAATTTGGGGAACCCTTGCTGGGTAAATGCGGCTGGATTAGATCCAAAAAGTGTTCCCTAAAAAATAATTTAATTATCCCAAAATAGCAAAAATTTACTGAATTTCCTTATTATTAGCCGTGAGGGAAATTAAAAGTAAATGATGAGAAAACGGAAAATATTTTGTTTTAATTTCTATTAATTTTCGTCATAAAACATCATAAAAATTATGTTTTATTTTAAAAAATTGGCAAAAACTTTAAATAACTAATGTTTATGATTAATAAATTTTTCAAAGCCATAAAGTATTGAAATTCACCTCCGGAAACTTGTATTGAAATCCCTGAGTTTTCTTTGTGTCCTGATTTGGTAAAACCTAAAATTATAAAAAAAAACATGAATGAAAGTTAAAATGCCGTTATTAATATTTTTAATCAAAGAAAATTAATATAAAAAATCTTTAAAAATATGAAAAAAAAACATTATTTTCCTGTTCTTTCGGTTTCTCTTGTTGTTGCTGTTGAGCTTGCTGTCTTTTTATAAAAAATTGCTGTTGCTGTGCTTTTAGTTGTTGGGATTGCTGCAGCTGTTGAGCCTGCTGAAGCTGTTGAGCCTGATGTAGCTGTTGAACCTGTTGTAGCTGTTGAGCCTGTTGTAGTTGTTGATCCTTTTGTAGCTGTTGTGCCTGTTGCAACTCCTGTGCCTGCTGTGCCTGTTGTTGTAGCTGTTGAGATTTCTCTTGCTGAGCTTGTTTAAACTGTTGAAACTTTTGCTTTTGCTGTTGGTACATTTGCGCCATTAGCTGTTGCTGAATGAATTTCGGAAATCTGCTAAAATCCTAAAAAAAATATATATTATAAAAATTATATTTTTAAAATTTCCTTTTCTTAGATATACGCTGGGAGCCAGACAACTGTGGAATAGGAATTTAATAAGTTAGTTTTCAAGCTGCTACGGTGAAACTATCTGCTTTATAGCATCAGCGAATAAACAACAATTAGCGTAAATGTCGTCTTTAAATAGAATTGTTTTATTGGTCCCACTGTAGATAGTCTACAAACTTACCCTTTGAGGCTCTTCGCCACTAAAGAGGCTTGAATTAATGTCTTCTTCGGTATTTTCCACAGTTCCTGGCGTTAAAGTCTCCTGCTGACCGGGCTGACGTTGCTGAGGGTCAAGCATACCAGCTGCAAGGTCAAATATTAATTCAGGAAGAGCTTACAGAATTTTAAGGGAATGCCAGCTTAAATTAATTAATTTCCAGAGGCAAATTATCAGTTCCGTTAATTATCACAAAATGGTAGAACCAGAGGTCCCATGCAGGGTGACCAACAAAGGATGAGTCTTCTGAGACGGCTGTACGGCTAGTGTGTGCATTCAGTTGGTTAGTTTTAGGGTCGTTTTTTTGCCTTGAATTTCTTTTGTTTTTATTGTTTTTCAATTTTTTTAAGATAAAGATATTGTTAAGTGTTATAAAAGCAAACTTTTACAAATACAATTCTTTTGAGTTTGGAATTGTGTCTTGAATTTTTTCTGTATGCCGAGTCCATTAGCCCCTGATCCAATCAGGGTTCAGTCATGTGTTTGTTGTCTATTCTGAACCAATAGAAATAGTATGGCAGTAACATTTATCTTTCTATCTATCTCTTATGAATCCTCCAATCGGCGCTATCAGTAAATGGAAATATTTACTTCTACTCAAGGATGTAATACAAGGAAAGTTAATTGCGGTCGTGTATACTCTGCGTACATATTGAAACCAGTTCTCTTTGGGCGGAATTTGTAAACAAGAATAAATGCATCAGTGTTCGTTTAGTATCCGAGGAGCTTTAAAGCATTAAATTTTGTTAATTTTGATAATTCACATAATAGTTTCCTATGACCAGAATATTTCATTGATTTTTTTATGTGAAAGATGGATCCCATGTCAGGCTGTAACATCCGCCTTGTGTTTACATTACCGCCCAGAGACAGTACACTGCAGTACAAAAGATGCGTACACCTCTGAAATAACTTTCCTTGCATTATATCCTTGCTTCTACTGAAACTATATTGATGTAAGGCCGGAATCTATACTTTCTGTTTCCTCATATTCATGATTTCCTGCAACTGTAACCTTAAGTGGCTTTATTTTTCAAATCGTGTTATAAGCCAATAAAAGACATATTCAAGACTAAAGACTTATTTTGACCCTGGGATCGTCATATTTTAAAAATTTCAGGTCGTCTTTACAATCTCATCCTTTATGGGTAACCTTGTGCGTGGTCGGATACATGGTCATAAGTTTGGTTAGTTCTAGACCCTGTAATGATATAAATAAACATAATTTCTTAGAACTGTTTACATTAGCTTAATAAATACCTAAGAATGGTTTCTTCTGAAAGTTTCTATGGGTTTCCTCGGGACTATAAACAGTAATTAATTATAATTATTGAATTAATGCATGAATATTTGCACAAGCTTAGTTAATTCATTATCGGCAAGATATTTATTTTATAACTGTAGATGTAAAATTAAATAAACTTACTCATGGCAAACCTCCTTGGGTATATTCTCTGTAACAACCTTTGGTTTTAGGCTCACCAGGGTCTGACATACTTTTCTAAAATTAATTATTAATTAATTTTACAAAAAAATTATCTTTTGTATGAATAATCTGTATTTTTTTTCTTTAGCAAGCTTAGAATAGGTTAACAAACAGAACCATGATTATATACACGTAACAAAATCTATTTTTCTTGTCTCTATATCCTTGCAACTGATTGTGTGAACCTTTAAATCTTAGATTAGTTAATCTCTAACAGAATTCATATTTGGGTTACAAAGATATATGTTTAGGTAGGGTTAAGTTATAAATAGGTTAGGATAAGGTTTAAGAAGATTAGCATTAGGATTATGTTTAGACAGATTAGAATTAGGATAAGAAAGGATTACGTCTAGACAGATTAAAGTTAGGATAGGTTGGGATTACGTTTAGACAAATTATACATAGGAACGGTTAGGATTAGGTTTAGATGGATTAGAATTAGGATAGGTTAGGATTACATTTAGACAGATTTTAGAATTAGGATAGGTTAAAATTGCGCTTAGACAGGTTTCATTTAGAATAGACTGGGATTACGTATATAGACAGATTATAATTAGAAAAGGTTAGGACTACGTTTAGGTAATAGGTCATAGATAAATAAATATACATAGATAGCTTAAGTACGCAAAATCACCAAGAATTGTACAGTCCGCGAACTCATACTTCTAGTCAAAGTGTACTTCAATGATAAGCGGGGTGGTTTGATGTTTTAATGGATTTCATAATAGAGTGTAAAATAACTCCAGGAATGGAACTATTTGAACAACAATATTTCACTGAGCAATATATCATATTGACGAGAACTGAAGAAGGACATGAGAAGGACTAAACTAACTTAATTTGCTCTCTACAGAACGCATGTACACCACAAGTACTCAATGACATAAGAACAGCAAATGTTCACAACCGACCTAGTTAATCTATATAATAGGAATATCTTTAAAAAATCTTTGTACATTTATATTTTTCAAGATGAAAAATGTCGTCTTATGCGCAATCTATCTTTATCTTTGGTAATAGGTAGGTTAGAATTTTAGAATAGTTTAGGATTACGTTTAGACAAACTAAAATTAGTATCAATTAGGATTAAGTTTAAACAAGTTTAAATCAGGATAGGCTGGGATTACATATAGACAGATTGTAATTAGAAAAGGTTAGGACTACGTTTAGTGGGTTAGAATATTAGGACAGTTTAGGATTATGTTTAAAAAGATTAGAATTCGGATAAGTTTAGAATTAAGTTTAGACAGATTCAAATTCGAATTTTATAATCGGTTAAGATTACATTTAAACAGATTAGAATTAGGATAGTAGTTGCCCTTCTGCTTGCAGCGGTGAGAGGATCTCTCTGAGCAGATCAGAATTAGGATAGTTTAGGATTACGTTTAGGCATATTAGAATTAGGATAGGTTAGGATTGTTTTTTTTTTCAAAATGAGTTTTAAAAAATCGTTCATTCAGTAAAAAACTATTGTTTTTTTAAACTTTGTTCCGAAAAATCGTTAGGTCATTAATAAACGATCGTTTTTTCCAAATCTTTTGGAAAATTCGTTCGTTCAGCAAAAACACTATCATTTTCATTTCTCTTAACGATCCTTTTCGTTATTCCATCGTCGTAGTTTTTTCTGAATCACACCCAATTTCACGAAAAAAAACGATTCTCATTTCTAAGTGAAAGTAGTGAAAATGCTACCTAGGTCTCTTCCAGCACTCTTGTTTCGGCACTTCTACAGGAGAAGTAACAGGAACATTTTGACAGGTTTGAACAGGAACATTTACACACTTCTCTCCTTCTATCTTTACAGGAACAGGAACACACTTCTCCTAAACAAACGGAACACATTAATCTTGATAAAAATATTTAAATGCCGTTTAACTATTATTTTGTTTTGAAGTTTAATGTTATTTTTTTGTCTTTAAGCTAGGTTAGATATACATATTTTAGTTTTAAAATGTGCTTAATTAAGAAAAAGGTTTTTTTGTGAATTATCAATGTGCAAGATCTATATAAAATACAGGGTGTCCCAAAAAACATGGGAATTCAGTGACGAATTCGATATCGTCTTTGTTATGAATTAGCATTGTGATACCTAATTTCATAAGCCACAATATTATTATGTCTGCTAGAGTTTATTTTATGAAAAGGGTAAAAGACTGCAAAGATGAGTCTATTATGTCTCCGCAAGATATAAAGTGAAGACGGACATGTTTACTCTGTTTGACATATTTGTATACTGCAATTTTCTTGCTTTACTAAGTACAACTGTATGCAGTCAAAACATAAACAAACAAATTGTGAACATAGCAGACGAAACTCTTACAGATTACGGCTTTCTCAGTAGGTATCACTATACTAAATCAAAGAATTATTTAAAAAGACGATATCGAATTCGTCACTGAATTCCCATGTTTTTTGGGACACCCTGTATATTAACATGGGCATTAAAAGTATTGAATTTACTAACTTTATAAATTTTTGGACTGTATTCAGGGGATAGAGAGATATTTTTAGTTAAATATGTTTATTTAAATCTTAAATTGGACTGTATTCAGGGGCTAGAGAGATATTTTTAGTTAAACATGTTTATTTAGATCTTAAATTGGACTGTATTCAGGGGATAGAGAGATATTTTTAGTTAAACATGTTTAATTAGATATTAAATTGGACTGTATTCAGGGGATAGAGAGATATTTTCAGTTAAACATGTTTATTTAGATCTTAAATTGGACTGTATTCAGGGGCTATAGAGATATTTTCAGTTAAACATGTTTATTTAAGTCTTAAATTGGACTGTATTCAGGGGCTAGAGAGATATTTTTAGTTAAATATGTTTATTTAAATCTTGAACAAAAGTGAATGTTAAGTTTACCTTAGGTACTTCAGTACAGATAGTTTTCTCCTCGTGTTGACCCATATGCTCAACATGAACTATTCGACATTCCTGAACTCACAACATGAAATGATAAAAAGAAATTATATTATAAAGAAAACATTTTAAAATTTTTCCAGAATTTTTAATATATTATTATTTAAAACAATATAGAATTATGCATCGCATTTGAAGTAAAACGTTTGTATTTAAAAACTGAATTATTTTTTACGTTCTTGATAAATTCATGATTTTAATAATACTATTAATTGTTTAAGTTTTTCTAAAGTTTGACTAATAATTATCCATCCATTACACATTTATTGGTGCAGATATAATTGCTGAAAACGCAGTTTAAAAAAAGTAAGCTTATTTATTTCCAGTAGTTAAAGCACCTCATATCTAGCCATTTTACTGTGCATATGGCCATGCCCCCTGTTTTAATTACGCATATTCAAAACAATCTAAACTTTTTTCTTCTGAGTTTTTATTATTCATGTTTCGGTCGATCCTATCTGCATCGATTAAATTGATTTTGTTAAGACTGAATTAAATAGAGTCTAAAAATGATTAAACAAATTGACTACAGTCAAATTGTATTGATATAATGTCGTCTTTCTATGCAGTTGTTTTCTGATTTTCAATAATCTAAATAATTCCTTTTAAAACCAGATATATAAAAATAGTTGTAATTGAAATAACGCGGGAAAAAAATACCTTTGCGAATTTTTTAATGACGTACAGTGACACCCATAAAACCGTGAACTAAAATGACTGTTATACTCCAGTTTTCAATTAGAATCCAGAAAGAAACATGATCGCGGCAATTGTGCAGTGTACTGTGTACACAGAACCATTTCACTGAGAAGAAGCTGCCTGTGAAAGTGAAGGTGGCTTCAAACTCGTATTTCTTTTGACAGTTTTTTTGTGTCTCATTGTATTTTCTAAATTTAATTTTAGATTTGTTTATCATTTGATTTTCCTTGTCTGTAATAGTTTTGCACTGTTGTTCGTAAGCTGTAGAGATGACAGGATCACATTTAGTTTCAAATGTGGGTTGACACTGTGTCTCCATACTGGTTGTAAATGCATTTTTGAACACTGTCTTGCATTTCGTGTCTTCCACCTGAATATACAATAAGTGCTCAGTGGTTCCCAAAAATATTGTTGCGATTGTCGTCTTTTTTTTCTTTTAATTAGGAAAATAGCTTGGACACCAGATATAAGGTTACGTTATATATATATATATAAGGATATGGATTATTTTATAAAGTGTACATATAGGATTATTTTTAAAAGTTTATATCCCTTACTATAGTGATACAAGATTATTTTTAAAAGTTATACACCCCTCACTACAGTGATACAAGTTTATTCTATAAAGTTTACACCCCTCACTATAGTCATATAAGATTATTTTTAAAATGTTTACATCTCTCACTACAGTGATATAAGATTACTTTATAACGTTTACACCCCTTATAGTGATACCGGATTATTTTAAAAAATTTACACCCCTCACTACAGTGATATAAGATTATTTTATAAAGTTTACGCACTCATGAGGGATATAAGATTATTTTATAAAGTTTACGCACTCATGAGGGATATAAGATTATTTTATAAAGTTTACGCACTCATGAGGGATATAAGATTATTTTTAAAAGACAGCACCTCTATCATCCCTTTGGAATAATTAAAAAAGCATATTTAATAGTTATCGTTTTTTTATTTCCTTTAAACTATTAAAGATGAAAATTTTAAAAAATATTTCTGCGGAATTGAATGACAAAATGATTTACTTTAATATAAACATGTTTTTAGAAACATTTATATACTTGGGTCTTTATGTATAATAATAATCGATAAATATATACTTATCAGGGCAAAACACAAAAAAACAAAAGAAGTATTTTTAGATTCAAACAACGCATTATTTTCCAAGCTAAAAATATTTTATTGAAGGGAATATTTTCAAATTTTAAACTGATGCTTCCTTCAGGATAAACCAATGATATAATATGTACGTTTAGCTGTAAAATAAACAGTTCCTTTTTCGAACCTATTCTAAACTTAATTTTTAAAATAAATAATAAATACTTTTAAACTTAAAATCGCTTTCACTTTAAAAGAGATAAGCATTAAACTCCGAAAGTCGCTTATATAGAGAAACCAAAATAGAAAACTACAAGTATTTCAAATAGAAATCATGGATATCTCATTCATTGGTAATGTAATGGGTACCGTTGTGAATCCGAAATTCAAATCTATAAGTTTAGGGACCCTTTTGAAATTACCTATACAGTCCCTTCAAGGATATTGGAACTGAGGTCAGGCTCTGTATATAATTTGAAGATCAAATATATTATTAATTTCTCAATTGGTTTTTAATTTGATTATTGGCTGAACAATGTATTCTACAATTGGTTGGGGAAACCCAATAAACATTAAGAAATTTAGTAATAAAGAGCTGACATATTCTCCAGGAAAATAGAGGTTTAAATCTTGAAAAACTTTGAAGGAAAATTTCATGGAAATAAAGTAATCACAATTGAGAAATTTCATTGACACAGATATTTCAATGAAAGGACCTTTAATTTTAATTTGGAGACAGACAAAGTGATGTTTCTCTTATATAATAAAAATAACTGTGCATAGAGTTTCCAGCGAACGAAATCTGTTGCGAAAATTTTTTCGATAATTTTTTGCATTTTTTTTTCAATAAAATTTTGAATTTTTTCGCAATAAAGACTAAGGAAAATTCGCAAAAAAAACGAAAATTCTCGCATTTTTCGCTAGCGAACGGATTGCTAAAAAATGGAAAATTTTCGACGAAAAGTCATTTTCGCGAAACGATTTAGTCTTTTCGCTGGAAACCCTATCTGTGCATCAATTAATATAGGGTTCTTGTCCTATTTAAAAAATATCTGTCTTTGAAATGTCCTGTCTATAAATTGGCCTGTCTATAAAATGTCCTGTCTTTAAAATTTCTTCTCTATAAAATGTCCTGTCTATAATATGTCCTGTCAATAATATATCCTGTCTATAAAATTTCCTGTCTATAAAATGTCCTGTCTATAAATTGTCCTGTCTATAAAATATCCTGTCTATAAAATGTCCTGTCTATAAAATGTCCTGTCTTTAAAATTTCTTCTCTATAAAATGTCCTGTCTGTAAAATGTCCTGTCAATAAAACATCCTTTCAATAAAATGTCCTGTCTATAGAATGTCCTGTCAATAATATATCCTGTCTATAAAATTTCCTGTCTATAAAATGTCCTGTCTATAAATTGTCCTGTCTATGAAATGTCCTCTCTATAAAATGTCCTGTCTATAAAATGTCCTGTCAATAATATATCCTGTCTATAAAATGTCCTGTCTATAAAATGTCCTGTCTATAAATTGTCCTGTCTATGAAATGTCCTCTCCAAAAAATGTCCTGTCAATAAAACATCCTGTCAATAAAATGTCCTGTCTATAAAATGTCCTGTCAACAAAATATCCTGTGTATAAAATTTCCTGTCTATAAAATGTCCTGTCTATAAATTGTCCTGTCTATAAAATATCCTGTCTATAAAATTTCCTGTCTATAAAATGTCCTGTCTATAAAATGTCCTGTCTGTGAAATGTCCTCTCTTTAAAATGTCCTGTCTGTAAAATGTCCTGTCAATAAAATGTCCTGTCTATAGAATGTCCTGTCTATAAAATATCCTGTCTATAAAATTTCCTGTCTATAAAATGTCCTGTCTATAAAATGTCCTGTCTGTGAAATGTCCTCTCTTTAAAATGTCCTGTCTGTAAAATGTCCTGTCAATAAAATGTCCTGTCTATAGAATGTCCTGTCTGTGAAATGTCCTCTCTTTAAAATGTCCTGTCTGTAAAATGTCCTGTCTGTAAAATGTCCTGTCAATAAAACATCCTGTCAATAAAATGTCCTGTCTATAGAATGTCCTGTCTATAAAATGTCCGTCTATAAAATGTCCTGTCTATAAATTTCCTGTCTATGGAATGTCCTTTCTATAAATGTATCATTTACTCTCAGAGTAAATGGCATTCCTTTGTAAAAAAATAACTAACTATTTTTATTATTTATTATTAATTTTTAAAGGGGCGGGATTAAATAAAAATTGTTGCATACCAAAAAACCAGCTTTTTATAAAGGAATGTCCAACTTTGAAATGTCTTTCTATAAAATGTCAAAAAAAGGAAGATGGTTAAAAAACTTACCACATGACAATGTTTCTTGTATGTTGGGACCTGCTTAACTATACTCACTTCCTCGAACTAAATAATAACATTTTTAAGTTAAATTGAATTTAATCAGCAATTAGTTAAATTGATTTAATTATACATTGTGCAGAGAGTAACAATTGTATGCTGTTAATTCCTGGACTAGACAGTTGTCGTCTCTTCATTCGTACGTAAAATACCGTTTATTTTGCATTCCTTTATTTTACCCGCGTCGTACTTGTTCAAAAGATTCATTTTTTCATATTCATATTTTTATTCAACTACAAAGCACGAGATAATACAAATAAAAAATCACAATTTACTTTGAAGTTTGGACCCGCCTAACCAGAGTTGGTTGTTTTAATTGGTTGACCCATTTCCTTTGGTCAATTTTATCTAATTATGTTTTTACTATTTCAAATTTTAATTGTGGCTCTATCCGTGAGCATTCTTTATTAAAAATAACAAACAAAAGTTCATGCATTTAAAAATACTTTTTTGTGGATATTTTTTAAATGTTACGAAAATCACAAAGTTTCGGGAAACATTTTTGTAATTCTGAGCATCCGGTCATAAACCTTATCTGATCCATTGACTGTTTTCTTTAATTGTCACACAAACGGAGAAAGCACTTATTATTACAAAGTGTAGAGAATCAACAAAGTGTAGAGAATCATAAGTTTTCTGGATATTTCTTAGAAATCAGAAAAAGATAAAATCTATACATATTTTGATTTTCTTGATGTTTGTCTGTCTAAACTATTTAAAATTCTTTGTTTATGATGCTCCAACCTCAAAAAATAAATAGAGTAGACGTAGTTCCACATTTTTTTAAACTATTTGCCCATTTTCAGTTCTTAAAATTTGTTTCTGTCATAAAGTTTTAAAACAAACTGAACTGAACAAGGCAGAAGAAGAGAGTCTAATTTATGTAACATTACTAGTTAGACTGTTTGACCTCTTAGCTTCTGATCTTTCGTGCATGTACCTGGTTTTATAATGATTATTATGATTGAAAATATATAAGATTTCAATAATACCTGCATTTTTTCTTTATTTTTGTAGCATATTTTCATTTGATTTGATTTGATTTGAAATAAACAAACAAAAAACACGTTTTATCCTCTAAAATGTCAAATCGGAACATGCTAAAGACAGTTGGATTTTAACATCCTGAAAAGTTTGTCAAAAAAATTTAATAATTCCTATTTGATTTGTTTTTCGTCCCTAGCAAAAGAGAATTTTGTATTTTGAATTATGTATATGTATATGATTTATAGTGAATCATGTTTAAAAGAAATTGAGACTTCATTTCAAACTATGATTTTCTAAATTCTATATTTTAACAACCCAATGCCGTAGACCTTAGATATTTCAAACTGTGCATTCTGTTAGATTAAAAAATCTAAGTTTGAAATATCAAAGGTTTACACTATCTGGCCGAAAAACAATATAGGTATTAGAAAATCAGAGTTTGTTACAAAAACTCAATTCCTTTTCTGTATCTTTATTGAAAGCTTTGATTTAAAAAACTGAGGTCTAAAAAAAGAACATCATGAACAGAGTTAAGTGCCATATGATTATTTAAATAGTCATGAATAATAATGAACTTAAGCCGCGTCTCAAATGCCTCAAAAACCGGGTTCAATTGAGACCGGGTTAAATCTTGAAAAATTAAATACAATTTTAAGTGGAACCAATCCTTTTGAGCCGCGGCTCAAATTCATTAGATTTTTCTTTAGACTTTTGTGTTTTAAATCTCAGGATCAAGCATTGATCACCATCTTATGCAGATATACTGACTAGTTTAGTTTTCTCCGATATTCCGTGATGGTAATACCCTGTAGGGATAACTTTAATCGAGGGATCAAGCATCGGCCTTCTAATTTAAAATAGTCTACATAGGATATCGAGATCAAAGAAGATATAAGAAGATATAAGAAGATATAAGAAGATATAAGAAGATAAGAAGATATAAGAAGATACAAGAAGATATAAGAAGATCTAAGAAGATACAAGAAGATATATGAAGATATAAGAAGATACAAGAAGATATAAGAAGATACAAGAAGATATATGAAGATATAAGAAGATACAAGAAGATATAAGAAGATTTAAGAAGATAAGAAGATATAAGAAGATACAAGAAGATATTAGAAGATATAAGAAGATAAAGAAGATGTAAGAAGATACAAGAAGATATAAGAAGATATAAGAAGATATAAGAAGATATAAGAAGATATTAGAAGATATATGAAGATATAAGAAGATATAAGAAGAAATCAGAAGATGTAAGAAGATATAAGAAGATATATGAAGATATATGAAGATATAAGAAGATATAAGAAGATATAAGAAGATATAAGAAGATATATGAAGATATAAGAAGATATAAGAAGATATAAGAAGATATAAGAAGATATAAGAAGATATAGAAGATATATGAAGATATAAGAAAATATAAGAAGATATAAGAAGATATAAGAAGATATAAGAAGATATAAGAAGATATAAGAAGATATAAGAAGATATAAGAAGATATAAGAAGATATAAGAAGTTTTAGTAAGATACAGTGAAACCCTTAATAACGATACATCGGAAGAATTTATCAAATGTCGTCTTGAAAATTTTCAATGAGTTTTATACTATATTACGTAAATTTCAGTATTTGCGAAAATAAGTAAACAGCCATGAATAAGCGGGAACAGTTTTAAAGAGTTCCATATAATCATTTAATTAAAAAACTAAGTATCTGCAATATTCCATTATCAGAAAGTGAAGAATACGAAATTTGATGAATTCTTTCGATGTATTCGTTATTAAGGGTTTCACAGTAGAAGAAAACAATGAAAAAATAGAAAACTATTAAATTTTGGAAATAAACTCTTTGACTCACTTTTTTAGCAATCAGCATCACAAAAAGATAATTGATTTTGATGATATATAAAAAAAATATTAGAATCTCATTTTCTTTGTTTCTATAGTACTGATATATATTTCAAATCAAACTACAATTCATTTTTTTAATATTCATATGGAAACTTGATTTAACGCCGAACTTTTTTGTCCTCTTCCAAAAACGGCTAAAGGTTTATAAAATATAAACAAATTTTCACACATTTTAAGACACATAAAGTTTAGCTTTTTATCAAATAAAAACTGTTCAATGTGTCAGTATAAGAATGAAAATTTTTCCTACCGTAATTTCACAAGGTTCTTCTGCTGCATGTACAATCTTAAAGAAAACAACAAGTTGAACTCCTGCTCCCCACATCTTGATGCTACTGACTTGAAAAAAACGAACTTGGTCTTTATAAAACAATTAACAAATTAGGGGGGGGGGGGTTTTTTAGGCTATAATTTTTTTTATCAGAAATACTACTTATAAAAGGAATTAGATTAGTTAACAGGTAAATATATTTTTGTGGTATTATATTTCGCTTTACCCCCCCCCCCTTCAACCCTTGCACCCTTAGGTGTGATTATTCAGTGGGGCGGGAAATTAGTATTTCCGCGAAATTTCGCAGATTTTTCCATCCTGGTACAAATTTCAAGGCTCACGCAGGAGGGGGTCAACAGCCTTGAAATAGATATAGAATAAATATACAATTATACTGAACTGTCAAAAAGTAGTTTTTATTCTCTACTAAAAGTACATATTTTAAGTCTTCATCGTTATGATTTTAGAATTGTTACATTCATGAAAATTATATTTAATTCTTCTTGTTTATTCTAAATCCTTGATATAATTCCATCTACCTCCTACGGTTGTTCTATTTTCTTTCACTCATTCTTTCATTTTAAGAGATTCATATTTTTAATCTAGACGTATTCTGAATCTGAAATAATAGAAATCTTCAATCCTTTAATTCCCCCTTTAGAGAGGACCATCCCCTAATTACAAAGATTTAAACCATTTTTGGTCAAGGCAATGTCGTTTTTCGATCAGTTTAAAATGTGTTTAATTCTGACAATGCCCTTCATTGTTTCTGCAGCAGGATTCCGAAACCACAAACAAAACTTGCCATTTTTCAAAGATAAATTATGGAAATCTTATTCATCAAACAAAGTTGTTACGGGTACCGTTGTAAATTGTACATGCTAATCTTTAAATTGTGGGCTACTTGAAATTACATCACTTTTTATAATAAGGTTGGTAAGGCCATATTTATGCCTGGCAATACATAAAAAAGTTGAAAAATGTTCGAAGCGGAATTTGCTTAACTTTAAAGTTTAGAAATACTCTGATTGAAATAATATTTTCAAATATATAAAACAATGTATCTAGTTATCAACAAACTACTCGATAATAAATTAATAAATTATAGTTATACCGCAAGTACTGCGCGTTTGCATACTTCATGGATACTAGCCTTGGAACCCGGCGTTGCCTGGGAACCCAATTTTTCTTTTCTCATCCCACTCAACTTAGAATCTGCAACCAAATTGAGAATATCCCGTAGTTCTACCGAGTTTCCCAGTTATAGTTTGAGACAGTCTAAGGGTTCCTCAATATAATTGGACAAACCAACAGAGATTGCTACTTTATATACGAATATATAAATACTTAATACTTTATACTTTATATAATTGACTTACAATTTTTGTTTTTACTTTATCCTTATTCTTTAATGTCTTGTCAATTTCTTTTGTTGTTTATCTTTCCTTTCCATTTTGATCTCCATATTTTGTTTGTAGATCAAAGAAGATATAAGAAGATATAAGAAGATATAAGAAGATATAAGAAGTTTTAGTAAGATACAGTGAAACCCTTAATAACGATACATCGGAAGAATTTATCAAATGTCGTCTTGAAAATTTTCAATGAGTTTTATACTATATTACGTAAATTTCAGTATTTGCGAAAATAAGTAAACAGCCATGAATAAGCGGGAACAGTTTTAAAGAGTTCCATATAATCATTTAATTAAAAAACTAAGTATCTGCAATATTCCATTATCAGAAAGTGAAGAATACGAAATTTGATGAATTCTTTCGATGTATTCGTTATTAAGGGTTTCACAGTAGAAGAAAACAATGAAAAAATAGAAAACTATTAAATTTTGGAAATAAACTCTTTGACTCACTTTTTTAGCAATCAGCATCACAAAAAGATAATTGATTTTGATGATATATAAAAAAAATATTAGAATCTCATTTTCTTTGTTTCTATAGTACTGATATATATTTCAAATCAAACTACAATTCATTTTTTTAATATTCATATGGAAACTTGATTTAACGCCGAACTTTTTTGTCCTCTTCCAAAAACGGCTAAAGGTTTATAAAATATAAACAAATTTTCACACATTTTAAGACACATAAAGTTTAGCTTTTTATCAAATAAAAACTGTTCAATGTGTCAGTATAAGAATGAAAATTTTTCCTACCGTAATTTCACAAGGTTCTTCTGCTGCATGTACAATCTTAAAGAAAACAACAAGTTGAACTCCTGCTCCCCACATCTTGATGCTACTGACTTGAAAAAAACGAACTTGGTCTTTATAAAACAATTAACAAATTCAAACTTCGTTTTCATTGTGATTTTTTCCACGTAATTTTATAGAAAAGGATCGAAGAGAGAATGAAAATTCTAAAATTATAGTTTAAAAACAATTCCCAAGAATACCGTTGAAGAGCATCCAATCGAAAATCTATTGAAACCAACTAAAAAGAATTGTGATTTGTGCAATTAATAGGTTTTAAAAATATGAACGATAATGTTTTCACTTACGTCAATGCATGCGGGGAAATAACAAGACCCTTGCCATCAATATTCTTCTAGCAAACATTCAAGTTAAACTTTAGACATTTACTTTTACTAATCCGAGAAGTTTGTGGAAGTCTAGAATTAACAAATTAATAGATTTTCAAAATTGAAAATTTAGCAAAACTCAAAAGGTTTCTTTAAATATATTTTTATTAAAAGGGGATTTTTCATCTTGGTACTTTGCTAAAACGAGAAGTTCTCCATCTTGATAGTTTGTATGCAACCAGGGATTTCTACACTTAGTATTTTTCTAAAACGAAGGGTTTCTACACTTAATATTTTGCTAAAACGAGGGGTTTCTAAACTTAATATTTTTCTAAAACGAGGGGTTTCTAAACTAAATATTTTGCTAAAACGAGGGGTTTCTAATCTTAGTATTTTGCTAAAACGAAGGGTTTCTAAACTTAATATCTTACTAAAACGAGGGGTTCCTAAACTTAATATTTTGCTAAAACGAGGGGATTCTAAACTTAATATTTTGCTAAAACGAGGGGTTTCTAAACTTAGTATTTTGCTAAAACGAAGGGTTTCTAAACTTAATATTTTGCTAAAACGAGGGGTTTCTAAACTTAGTATCTTACTAAAACGAGGGGTTTCTAAACTTAATATTTTGCTAAAACGAGGGGTTTCTAAACTTAATATTTTGCTAAAACGAGGGGTTTCTAAACTTAATATTTTGCTAAAACGAGGGGTTTTTAAACTAAATATTTTGCTAAAACGAAGGGTTTCCAAACTTAACCTTGTAAGCAAGCATTAGCTCCTATTAAATACACATTATATTTGGGTAAACATGGTCTAAAAGCAAATTTGAAAATATTAATTTCCTCCCCCCCCCCCCCAACCCCCTTAATTCATACAACATTTTTTTTAAACATAGAACCCTCAGAATATATATAATATAGAATAACAGGTGGCACCTGTAGTGGTATGACATTGTAAACATGTATTGGTATGTTATTGTGTACATGAAGTACACTGTTCTTGGGGGGGATTTGTTTCGATTACTTAAATGATTTCTCAGTAAAAACAAGCATGAGGATTGTTCAGTGTTAAATTGTAACACGAATAAAAACATATAAGATAAGATTTAATTCTTTTCCTAAAGATGAAAAGTTTAAAAAAACGTGGAGTAACTTCACAGGAAAGCCAGGTTTCTGGACTCCGGGAAAATTTAGTGTTGTCTGTGCAAAACAAATACGTTTGCGGACAAAAGTTAAGTTATAACGTTTTTCCCAGTCTCCATCTTCCCCACCATCCACATCAACAGGAACAGCTAGATAATGGATAGGGTGAGTCTTGACTTATTTACAGGGGCGGATACTGGATTTGGTTAATATTGTTCTAATGAATAATTTAATATAAATGCTTTAAATTTATTAAGGGTCTAGTTGGGGCGACCCGCCTTACCCCCCCCCTCTCCTTAAAAAGGCCTGAAATATGTTAAAAATAACATTTTTGTTGTTGTTGACAAATAAAAACATGTGACAACTGATTTTATATTTACTTATCAATGACTTTTCCGAAATGTAACTTTTATATACAGTAGTAACCAGAAAACAATGAAATAGGAAGACGACATTATATCAGTACCTTTTTACACTGCACAAATGCTGTATTTCATGGTTAATGAAANGGGGGGGGGGGGGTCAATTTGCCCCCCCCTGTAGTTTTTTCTACATAACTGAAAAAGTATTGGTCTGAGGCTGTTGAAATTTTCTGACTTTTCCTAAATACCCAAAGCCCTCCCTCCTCATAGGAGTTAGAACGATTCTAAACACTTTTAGATTAAAAGATATTGTTGTATTCCTGAAAATATATTGAATTCTAGCAATTTCCCTTAATGTAGTATAAATCCATAGTGCACCCTAAATTATTTGTTTCGTTAACGAATTTTTCCACAGAACAACGGGGGCTTCAATATCTTAATATCATCAGGAGGGTTTATAATGAAAGTGTTTAAAAAATGTATATTTTTTAGACATTCTTCTGAGTCATGAACAGACTTCAACTGTTCCCTCTCAGAGTAATTCTGCTCTCCCTCAGAGAAGTTCTGTTCTACCTCAGGGGAGTTCTGTTCTACCTCAGAGAAGTTCTGTTCTACCTCGGGGGAGTTCTGTTCTACCTTAGATGAGTTCTGTTCTACCTCAGGGGAGTTCTGTTCTACCTCAGATGAGTTCTGTTCTACCTCAGATGAGTTCTGTTCTACCTCAGGGGAATTCTGTTCTACCTCAGATGAGTTCTGTTCTACCTCAGAGAAGTTCTGTTCTACCTCGGGGGAGTTCTATTCTACCTCAGATGAGTTCTGTTCTACCTTAGGGGAGTTCTGTTCTACCTCAGATGAGTTCTGTTCTACCTCAGATGAGTTCTGTTCTACCTCAGGGGAGTTCTGCTCTCCCTCAGAGAAGTTCTGTTCTACCTCATGGGAGTTCTGTTCTCCTACAGAGGAGTTCTGATATACCTCAGAGTAGCTCTTTTCCTCCTGAGCCAGGTATTACTAGAAATTCATTAAAATGTTTGTTAAATTGGGAAAGAATTTTTATCCCCTATTTTTACTCTTTACAATTTTATGATTTTGGGTATTTAAGCGTGCATAAATATATCTTAGTATTTTTCTTTTATATTTTTCTGACAATTAAAATTTGTGCTGAATTTTGCTAATTTTAGACATTGCAATTTTTTGTTTCAGCCAACAACAAGAGAAAAGTTGAAGAACTGACAACAGAAGAATTTTACACCTCTAGCTTTGAAGAAATTCCAGAAAATGGATTAATTGCTGACGCAATTATCCAGCAATACAAAAAAGCAGAATTAAGTTGTCTAACTACAGAAATGAAAAGTACAGCTTTGAGTTGATGAAATTTTCTCTAACTCTTCAAGAATATTCAAGAAAAGCTTACAACTATGTCAGAGAAACCAATTCTGGAATCAGGCACAAAAATACTAAGCTAATACTGTTTAAAAATGAATAACTTTCAAATTATCCATTTTAAATAGCTAATGAAATAAATAATTGAACAAATTTTGCTATTAAAATTTTGGTAATTTTTTGTAGAAAGGGCTGTTCCCCCCCCCCCCCTTCCTCCTTGATATTGCATTTTTAGAAGAAAGGACCATGGAGGTTTAAAGAAACTACGACTTCCGAGAGAAAAGAGTTAAAAGTTTTCATAAACTAGGTTTAAAATTTGACTGGACAGGCTTGTTGACCAAACGCTGTGGCCACCTTAATGTGCGCATTTTATTTTGCATGGTATGGTCGGTAATTACTTAAAATTTGAGGTTACACAGATAACAAGCATTTACTTATGTGTTTGGCCAAGTACTGTGGTCATCTAAATGTGAAAAAATACATTTCTGTAATTATTTGAGGCTACACAGTTTGGCCTTGCTCGGGCCCGAAGGGAGGGGGGGGGGGGGGAAAAGTTACCCCAATTATTTCCATTTGGTTTTGGTTTTCTTTTTCACATTTTGAAAGGAAGAAAACTATTTGAAACAATTTTGAAAATACGTGTTTGATTAATTGAAGTAAAGATAAGAAGAGAAAGTGTGGATAGTGAATCTTCAAAATCCCCCCCAAAGATTACTTAACATCTGGACATTTATGTATTGTACTGCATAACCCCCACAGTCCAACATTTCCGAAACCAAATGCTGCCACCTGAATTATTCTATAGTATATATATTCTGAGATAGAACCATAGATATCCTTAAAATTAAGAAACATTAGGGAAACCTGAGGCCGAATTTAAAGAATTTGAGCCGCGGTATAAATTTAAGCCGTGGCTCAAATTTTTGCGGTTCCACATAAATTTGTATTAATTTTTTCAAGATTTAAACCGGCGCTTTATTAAAACCGGTTTTTGGGGGATTTGAGACGCGGCTTAAATTCATTAAATTCGGACACTGCAGTAAGATCCTTAAAACTGAGTATTTGATGTTATTGTAAATCACTAATTATTAGGAAGTAAATTTAAAAAAATAATAATATATTTTAATATATAAGTTTTTAACGATGAAATAACAAAAAAGGTAGAAGAAACAAAAAAATTTATACTTAATGACATCCTGTTGTACGTAGACAGATATTTTTTTTGATGTTAATATATTATAGTATGTTATTAGTAGTATATATTTCTCGGGGTTTTAGTTATTATTCATGAAATAGAGTTGTTAGTAGAGGATAAACCTTGTCCTGTATCTAATATTTTAGTCCGTTAGAATCGGAACCAGGTTTTTTTTTTTGGGGGGGGGGGGTGGGACGGGACACGTGCCTTCAGTCCCACCCCCGCCACTGTTAGATTAAGTTTAGTAAAATAGCTGCGTTTTTGCTTAAAAGAAAAGAAAAGAAAACTTATTAAAGTTAGGGTTGTGCCTTCAGTTGGTTCGTTTTTAGTAGGTCGTTTTTAGTAGGTCGTTTTTAATATGTTGTTTTTTAGTAGGTCGTTTTTAGTAGGTCGTTTTTAGTAGGTCGTTTTTTAGTAGGTCGTTTTTAGTAGGTCGTTTTCAGTAGGTCGTTTTTTGCAGATCGTTTTTAGTAGGTCGTTTTTAGTAGGTCGTTTATAGTAGGTCGTTTTTAGTAGGTCGTTTTTAGTAGGTCGTTTTTAGTAGGTCGTTTTTAGTAGGTCTTTTTTAGTTGGACGTTTTTAGTAGGTCGTTTTTAGTAGATCGTTTTTAGAAGGTCGTTTTTAGTAGGTCGTTTTTAGTAGATCGTTTTTAGTAGATCGTTTTTAGTAGGTCGTTAATAGTAGGTCGTTTTTAGTAGGTCGTTTTTAGTAGGTCGTTTTAGTAGGTCGTTTTTAGTTGGTCGTTTTTAGTTGGTCGTTTTTAGTAGGTCGTTTTTAGTAGGTCGTTTTTAATTGATCGTTTTTAGAAGGTCGTTTTTAGTTGGTCGTTTTTGTCTTTATTTTTCTTTCAGGGGACAATTTGGCATAGTAATAAAATAGAATTGTTTTTTTTTAACTTTTTTATTTTTAACATTTAGTTTCCTTTTAAATCAAAGCCAATTGTAACATAATACAGTTTTGAAATCTTTTAAGTATTATTAAATTTTTATAAAAACGATTCTAAACAATTAATTTAACAGCACTAGTTAAACTTAAAGTTAGGGTTTCCAGCGAACTGGAGAAATCGCTTCGCATTTCCTTTGTTGAATAAAAATCCGAAAATCTGTTTCGGCAAAAAATTGCGAAACTTGTTTGTTTGGGGAAATTTTTTCGCGTAACAGAGTAATGCGAAATTTTACGAAAAGAGCGAAAATGTTCGCTAGATTTTCTCGTTTTTGTTTTTTAGAAACTTTTTTGTTCCCAATTTTTTTTCGCATCATTTTCACTTCCTTTTGCTAATTTCATTTTCGCGAAAAAGTGCGAAATTTTGGGTAAGTTACCGTTCGCTTTAATAAAATATGCCCAATAAACATGAGACCCATTTAGAGTGCAACGTGTAAACAGGCAAATGATAACCAATAAGTGAATTTAAAATTGACTTTTACAGCATTTTTTTGCTCTGTAAAAATTTCCATTTCAATGCCCTAAATTTAAAATCTAAAATCTAAGCCGGAAGACTCAAATGCTGTGGCATGGAAGACCGTATGATTGTGGCTCATGGCTGCCGGAAGACAAAGAAGATAATATGTGACATGGAAGGGAAAAATGTAGTGGCTAATGACCGCCTGCCTTTCCCCGCTCGACTCCTACGAAGCTGTTAATTTTGTATTTTTCTTAGGGTTAGGTTAGGTTGATACTTTTCTGGTCCGAGAGCTGTGGCTAGGATAGGGTAGGGGTCCTAGCGACGCGGTTAGGGAAGGCTAGGGGACCTAGAGTTGCCGCTAGGTCAGGCAAGGGGGCCTAGCGATGCGGCAACATCATCAAATGTCCAATTAGCACCTGTAAAGTGTAAAACCACGTGCGATTAGGTTAGAAGTTTAGTATAACTGATGTGCACAGGTCAGAAGTGTAGTATAGTGGATTTACGTAGGTCGAAAGATACACCATTCGTTCAATATCATCTATTACTATTAGGTGTATGTTAGAATGGGAGATCCCACAAAATATTGTTCAATTTGTTTAACTGTAAACTCTTACGGAGCAGAACTTTGAACATAAAATTTAGTTTCTCTCAAGGGACCTTTGTACTCACACGTAACATTCAAATGATTTCCTTAGATTTTATAAAAATGGGACAGAGATTTACTCATAGTAGTAACATATATTCAAATTCAGGATGATAGCACGTGATCGAGGGAGAGAAAACATAATGCAAAAAAGGCAAAATATCTATCTTAATAAACTATAATGTGTGATAAGTCTTTAGTCATTAATTTTGACCCTGTTTGAGTTTTTCAGGGAAAAAAGTAGCTTACCGATATCTACCGATTTCTAACAATTTGGCCCCACCCCCTTCAAAATTCCTAGCTACGGGCCTGTCATCCAATAATAGATGAATCCTGAAGTGTAACCTGATAAAGTGATACATACATAAATGCTGAACAATCCTCTATATTCAAAATTCAACTATCATTGAATAATTTATAAATCATTTATTTGATATTAGATGTATGCTGAAATAACGATTTAAAGGGAAGCATAGAGAATTGTTTTACAGCAACTTTAAGTTTGTTTGGTCGATGAATTAAAGTTAATGGATAGAATTTTAATTTTTAAAAAACTCGGAATTTTAAAACTTCTTGTGCTTACGTTGTAATTATTCTTTTTCTCACAAAATTTTAATCTTATCAAAAAACATGTATTTTCCAGGAAAAAAATCTATTCAAGTTTTAAGAAATTAGAAGAAAATGAAAAAATATTTACGAAAACTATTTATAATTGTTTGAAAAGATTTGGTAATTAAAAAACTCTTAACTGAATAAAAGTTTCAATAGTCATGTCAAATATAAAAAATTATCACTTTAATCGATCTTTAGGCTTTGATACCCTAAATACATTTTATAAAAGACACAAAATTTTAATTGTATGAAAAGTCAGCACTTAAAAGTGCCTTAAATGCTAGTAGGACAAGAAAAGAATATTTCAATTTAAAAAAAAAGCTGTTCAAGTTTAAGTTGAATTTTCGAATTTAATTTGAAGTTTTGTTTTGTGTAAATTATACATTTTGAAATATGTATTGGCGCAAAATTACTTTTGGAAAGTTTTTGAGGCTTTTTCTCTTAAGTAACAAATAAAATTGTCAATCTTTATGTACATTGATTCTGAAGAGGTTAACTGCTGCAGTATGAATCACTCCCTTCAATAAAAAAACAAGATATAAATTAAACGACAATGTTTAATTTAAAATTAAATTTAATACTAATTTTATCTACTTCTGTGGAATGAGCATTTAAACTTTCAATTTTTAAAATTTGAATTAATGCTAAACCTATACTTAAAACTATATGTATTAGTACTTCAAATAAAATACTTCTCAAAAATGTTAATATTATGCACAGTGGGCTGAATTGTAATTAAATTGAATCAAACAATAATTTTTGAAGTTCGGCAAATTTTTCTTCGTTCTTGCCAATTTTTCATGGCACATACAGTGAAAACCAGAAAACTCTAAAATGGGAAAACGACTTTTAGACTCAAGTTATGACTTGAAAATAAACATAAGATACAGCAGTTGTGTAGTGTAAATTTTAAGACATTTTTTTTACTATAAATAAATTGAATATTACTTATTCAATAAAAAGGTTACCATTAAATATATGCCAAACCAAGTTTAATGTATAATATTCTGTATACAAAATAAATGTTGGATAACATGAAGGTAGGTAAATACTTAAAAACCATATTCCACATATTCCTGTTAATTTTACGTTTATTGATGTTTCCTTTTATACTTTATTGGTTCCAGAATAAACTTTGGTTAAATATAGATTTAAATAATACAGCTCTTCGTTAATATATATATATATATTTTGACTTCTGAAGATCGTCATGAGACGTAAAACACTATGTTTATTATAATTCTTTTTTTGATAAAATGTAAAGTTTAAAAACTGAAATATATATATATATATATATATATTTATATGTTAGTTATAGCTGGCTAAACGGCTAGACCAAAAAATTGGCTGATTTTTTTTTAGGGAACCCGGATAATACCCTCGGGGTGATAATAATTCAGCTAAAATCATGATTTAATACCAACTTACCAAGCGCGGGTAAACGGTCGGAGTAACTATGAGCACGAACAGATAAAAGATTTATTCTTTTCCTTTTGGACTTTTTTTGACATAGCTCAAAAGACTGGTCTGAGCCTCTGAGGCTGTTCAAATATTTTTTGCTTGTATAAAGTGGCATTTTCATTGGAATAATATTGTTTTTTGTTTTTTTAAACTTATTTTTGTTGTCGCAAAAACAAACGATTTGAACTCTTGAAAAGGCAAATACGTACGTACAGAGAGAATCAGAAAATTATAATATAAACTTTAAACTAAAATGAACTGCTAACATGATGTAAGATGAGTAAATATTTCTATTCCAGAGTTTTATACATGTGGTATAATATAAACGTTAAACTAAAATGAACTGCTAACTTGTTTCAAGATGAGTAAATATTTTCTGTTGGATCGGTAAACTTGCTGAATCGGAGAAAATATGTTTTAGTGCGCATCTTTTAATCCTTTTACCAGATATAAACCAATCATTAGCAAGGGTACCCCCCCCCCCACAGTGGGGTATTAGGGGAGGGTCAGTCAAAATGAATTTATTCCAGAAACATCTATTTATGTCAAGTAGGACTTAGCCGCTTAAGAATTTTTTTTTGAGAGAAATCTCTAAGAATTGTTTAAATGTTATGTTATAGTTAAGAATTTCGACCGAAACCCCCCTATTGCATTGAAAACTCTTAAAATAGGATTTTTCTACAAGCTCCTCTGACTAAATCAAGATTTAGGGTGCTGCAGCCACTAAATCTTTTCTTTATGGCTGTTAGAAATTAAAATATATTTATTTATTCAGATTATCGCGAAACCCCTGTGCTTTCTCGTACTTATTTTATAAAACATATGTTTTTCTTCCGATATAATCGCTGTAACAAAGACGACATATAAATATATTGCGGGATTACAGGTCCATTCAAGGATAAATTTATGAACGGGAAAAGTAATAAATTGAAATCATTATAGTTCAATGCTGCTACAATTAATACAATGTTTGTAAATGAAAAGATTATCAGAATATATTCATTTTGTCCATTATCAACATGAAACACAAGACAAATTCATTTTAAGAGGAGTATTGGTACAAAACAGTCACCCCCCCCCCCATGACCCCCTAAAATATCCCACCGTGTTAGCAATACAATTTTGTATTTAAAATACAGAGGGATTTTGGTTGTGAAGACCACAATGGAAATAGGGATGGGCTGCACATGCATCGCTTTAAAAAAAAAAAATCGCTGTGGCTAGGATAGGCTAGGGGACCGAGCGCTGCGACCACATTTATCATATGACAAGTTATAACCGATTTGTGTGGTTATGTTAGGTTTCGGCATTTATTTTGAGTCCGACCTGAAGAATTTCGAGTGCAACCAACTTAAGAAAGCTGTGCACCGACCTACAGTAGTTCCGATACACTAACTTTTTTGTTCATCCGACCTACCAAATTTGTGCATCTGACCTACCAAAGTTGTGCATCCGGCCTATAATATTGTGCATCCGACCTACAAATATTGTGCATCCGACCTACAGAAGAGTGAAACAAACTTAGGAAAGCTGTGCAACCTGATATACTGTGGGTCTGATACACTAACTTTTTTTAATGAAGTGTGTATCCGACCTACAGTACATCGGACCAACAACAACTTGAAGCTGCTGAAAAACCACGTGCGGATAGGTCCGAAGTTTCGTAGGACGGATATCCGTTGGGTGGATGTGATACAGTCATAGAAACCTTATCATGATTTCATGAATTAACTATGTTTTACACCGTTTACCTGATCCTTAATCTACCGTCCTCATATGTATACTTATAAACATTTTTATTTATAATTCTTCATGTTTGTCATTTAAATCTGGATAGCTTTAATATACTATAAAGTAAAAGTGTTCTCTGTCTCTCAAAAATACCATTAATCTGAATCCCATTTGTAAATACATTTATTGACATTAAGAAACAAGGCTAATAATTTTTGTATTTATTTGTATGCAACCACTACTGTTTAATATAATGCTTTAATTTCCATTTATCACTGGTTGGTGTCTGTAGTAAAGCTGCTGCTAGATGTCTCTAGTAGAGCTTCCGCTAGTGGGCTCTAGTAAAGCTTCCACTAGGTGTACCCAGTAGAGCTTCCGCTAGGTGGCTCTAGTATTTGTATATAGCTGCCACGGCACTAGATGTCTCTAATGAAGCTTCCCCTAGGTGGCTCTAGTAAAGCTACCACTAGGTGGCTCTAGTAGGGCTACCACTGGGGGGCTTCAGTAGAGCTACCACTAGGTGTCTCTAATAAAGCTACAACTACGGGGATCCGGTGGAGCTACCATTAGGTGTCTCTAGTAGAGCTGCCAAAAGGGGACTCCAGTAGAGCTACCACTAGGTGTCTCTTGTAGAGCTGCCAGAAGGGGGCTCCAGTAGAGCTGCCAGAAGGGGGCTCCAAAAGCTACCACTAGGTGTCTCTAGTAGAGCTATCGCTAGATGGCTCCAGTAGAAATGCCTGTAAGTGTATCTAGTAGAGCCATTCTTAACCAAGACGAGGGAATGGAAGTATTAACTCTCTCTTCAAGTTAGACTGAAAAAAAAATTGTATTATTACAAAGGTAAAGAAATGATATTTAACGGTTTTTGTATATCTTGAAACCCTGACTCTAGAGTCACTTTGTTATATCAAAACATCATCTTAACATTTTGTGACAAATGAAGATAAACTTTATAAAGCATGAACATTGTACCAAGTACAATGAAATGATGATATAGGTAAACAAGTGGGTGGGTAGTCTAGGGTTTCCAGGGAACGAAAACTTTCGCGAAATAATCCGAAATTTTTTTTTCGTATTTCGCAATGAATTAAGTTCGGCGTTAGAAATTTTATTAGATCATGTTTTGCGAAAAAGATTAAAGTCGAAAAAAAGCGAAAATGTTCATATTTTTTGCAAGCAAACGAAATGCGAAAAAATTCAAAATTTTCGAGATAAAATTTTTTGCGAAATTTTCGCGAAACAATTTCTTATCTTATAGAAAAATTCATGATATATTTTTTGGTTTTTTCTGTTTTGTACAGAAGTTTCATTATTAAAAATAATCCTTGTTTAATTGGGTTTTAAAGCATTTAATACAACATCAAAATCTGTAAATAACGACAGACTTAGAGTTTTACATTTGAACTTAGCTTAAAATAATCCCATGTTATTTTAACAATTAGCAATTCAATTTTTTAAAGATTTTTATTTCCAAATTTTTAAAAAAATCAAGTTTTAAATTTTAAATGACCCTTTATACAGCTGTGAATAATTTTTTACAGCTAACGAGCTATAGACTAAACAACTTTTAAACAACAATTAGTTAGATTTACTCATCAGACACTAATAATAACAAACAGTAGTAGCGCGATAAGAAATGTTGGATTAAACATATTTTTGAATTTCCAAACTTGTTGGACTTTTGAGAAAATTTGATAAAAATAAAAGTTAAGATTAATTATTCCTTTTTTATGTTTACTACAATTTTTGTTTTGCAAACCATAAGGAATTAATAAAAAATTTAGTGAAATACGTCTTGGCTTGAAAAGAAATAATTTGCAAAGTCACTGATATTGAAATTTGAAATCCTTCTGAAAAAAAACAAGACCTTTTTTTGTTGAAAACATTTTACTTTTGATCATCCATAACTTTAATGTAATTGAAAGGACTTCAATAACTTTAAAATTTTACTTTTATTTTAATTCACAGCTTTAAAATATATCAATAACTTTTGTATAATGGGTAAAAATAGGTTAAATAGACTGGATTTCAAACAAAATTAATGGCCCTTTCTGTCGTTAAAAATCTATATAAACAGCCAATATACTTCACCATATATTATGATAAAGAATTCATCTTGATGTTAAAGTATAAAAAGTAGATAAGAAAACACAGAATATTACAGCTTCATAAAAGTTCGCTGTAGAAAAAATACATGTACATTGTACACTGTACACTTTACGGTGTACGCTGTACACAGTTAGCTGTATAACACTGTTCAGTGTACACTGTACACTCTACACAGTACGCTGTATAACATCGTACAAAGTACGCTGTATAACATCGTACACAGTACGCTGTATAACATTGTACACAGTACGCTGTATAACATTGTACACAGAACACTGTATAACATTGTACACAGTACGCTGTATAACATTTTACACAGTACCCTGTATAACATTATACACAGTACGCTGTATAACATTGTACAGGGGTCTCTGGATAACACTGTACACAGTACGCCGTACACTGTACACAGTACGCTGTACAATGTACACAGTACGCTGTACAATGTACACAGTACGCTGTACATTGTACACAGTACTCTGTTGAAAACTGTAAACAGTATGCTGTACACTGTAAACAACACTGTACACTGTACGCAGTACATTGTACACAGTTTAGTCTGCATACATTTCCCACAGGGTTACCCAAAAAGGTTGAGACTTGAGAGATGACTGTAGGAACATTATTCTGTCATCTTTACAACACTTACTGTTCCCTGCAGCTGTAAACTTGTTTCCTTCTTTGCTGACTAAAATATTAAACCATTGAAAGACTTGATGTAAAGGAGGAGATTAAATTCAACCTGTTGAGTTCTCAGTCGTTATTCAAGTCTCTTCCTTTTATGGGAAACCACATTGTACATGCAACATGAACTTTAAATTTCGGAAAATATGGACTCAAAGAAGTTCGTAGTAATATTTCGATTCTACTGGAGACCACCGGAGGTATTTTATTTTCACTGGAGGGGTTTCAAAAAATGCTTTTTATAATTTAAAACTTTACGCAGGGTGATTTACATTCCACTGGAGGGATTCAGATGTCCTTCCTGGTGGTTTATAATTCCACTGGAGGGATTCAGATAGCCTTCCTGGGGGGTTATAATTCCACTGGAGGGATTCATTTATCCATCCAAGGGGTTTATAATTCCACTGGAGGGATTCAGATATCCTTCCTGGGGGGTTATAATTCCACTGGAGGGATTCAGTTATCCTTCCTAGGGGTTTATAATTCGATTATATCAATATAATGAAGGCGACTTGTTTATGTTTAGATTGTTTACAAGTTTTTTTTCGACTTACAAGTTTACAAGTAATTAAAAAGAAGCTTTTATAATAGACAGCTTCTCTTTGTTTCCATGTTTATGTGTATCCATGCTGTTTAAAAGCTTGATATCAAAATTGTAATCGAAAGTCGTCTTTATTGTATTGATATAATCGCCTACCACTGTATTTATTATATATAACTTAAAGATGAACATGAAGGAATCATGTATCAATAAAAATATTGGAAAGCAAAGGAAAAAGTATGATTGTTTATTTAATAGAATACTTGCCTAAGCTTTTTTTTAAAATATGCTTTTCAAAAAAGTTAATTATTGACTCTAGAAAATCATAATTTGCATTTACTGTAAGAAATATTTTTTTTAATATATTGTCCAAAAGAATTGAATTTTTGCCACAAACTCAAATTTTCTCATTCAGTTTTTGTCACAAACTCTGAATTTCTAATTCCATTATCATTGCTACCCAATGTTGGAAAAAAGCTCTTTATAAAATAATGTAAATTCATTTAAAACTTTTTGCTAATTCAGTAGTTCTTTCAGTAAACACATAGATATTTATTTTCTATAAATAAAAGATAGAATGTAAAAAAACTAGTCTTTTGTTGACACATTTATCCATTAATTCAGGTCATGCAAACATCAACAGAGATTGGAAAATCTATTTTAAAATTCTTAGATAAAAAATCTTTATATAGCACATTGAACGATAATAAATATAAAAAAGACGTACACATTTTACACATTTTAAACTTTGCACTTTACAAAAGCAAATACGTTAAGTAAACAAAGTTAAATACCATCATGGGGTTTACACGTGTACACCTTTTTAGCCCAAACGAATTAAACATATAACATAAACCAAACCTGGATTAAAAATCAGCTGATTCTGCAAATAGCAATTATATGTACATAGTCGTCTAATAATTTAATTTTTATTCATAAATACAAGGCGTACAGGGAGTATATTCAAATTTATTTCATGCATTTGGAATTTTTGCAATTAGTCCCTCTATCTGTAAATTGAAAATTTCCCACTTGCTTTGCAATCAAGATTTGATTAAAACCATTTTAAAATATTTTATGGTTAATCTTGGTTTTGAAATTTTTAAAATAGGAGGGCCAGGGGGGGGGGTATTATAGAAGCATGTACAACAGGTAGATTTATAATATTGGGTAAAAGAGTAGTTACGGCACTGTGTCATTTTCTTCAATTATTTTCTTCATTGTAATAAAATTGTGCAGAACTATTTTTTCTACGTGAAAAAAAAATATTTTTAAATGTTTTGTTTAAAGAGAGAAGTAGTATTTGAAAGAAAAGACAGAGAGCAATTTAAAGACAGAGACGCACTTGTCATGTTTTGGCATATTTAAAAATATACGCCAAAAACTTGCAACAACCGGGAAAAAGTGTAAAAATTCTATTTTCGTTAGCCTGCTTTAATTGACCAAAAAATGAAAAATCGAATGTTTTTGAAAAGTTTGTTCCGATCTCTGGCCATTTTTTTTCAGAAATCATCTACACACTTCGATCTTTTTTATATTATATGGGTACTTTTAGTCTGATGATAAACACACTAATAATTGAATATAAAATGACACTTCGCCGTATTTATTTTGAATATATTACAGTTAAACCCAGAACTTTGGAGACATCGAAAGAAGTTATAAAATTGCGTTTTCTACCCCTATGATAATGGAATACTGCAGATATTTAGTTTTAAATTGAACAAATTTCTAAAAATCAGTTTCTGTAATTTTATTGTAATATTTAGTTTTGGAGCTAAACATACAATAGTAAACAATTAAATTAAGCTCTTTAAAACTGTTCCTGTTTATTTTATGGCTATTTTTTTAAATTACTGATATTTAGGTATATGGTAGCATAAAACACATTGAAAAATTGTCAAAACGACATTTTTATAAGTTCTTTCTATGACTCCAAAGTTCCGGGTTAAACTGTATAAAAATAGTACCTGTCGTTTCATCAGCATTTTGCCCCAATCTGCTGGGGGCCTGGAGTACTTCAACTTTTCAACAAATATATACTTGGTTGAAGATAAAATATATAATTGGTTGAAGATAAAACAGATAAATACAAATAGCGTGTTTGCTGGCTTTAGAATAAATTATAGGTGAAAGGTATGCTTTCAAGCTATCTTTTAACCAAAAATGTTTAAGAATTAAAAATATGAAAGAAAAAAACTTCTTTAAAGTTTAGGAAAAAAGTTGGTTTCCTCAAAATCTTGTTTCCAGGGTTTCCTCCCATTAAAACCATTCTCTCGTTCTTAAACTGGGATAGAGCCTAAGCAATATTATTTTAAAAATGTCAAAATTAACTCTTGCTTTTCTGAATATGTCTTATATCACTGCAGTCCTTTAAGAACATTTGTTACGGCGCTACGACATCTGCTCTATTTCCACATTTGCTCTATGGCCATTTGCTCTAGTTCCATTTGCTCTATTAACCATTTGCTCTATAGCTCATAGATCACGACGTTTGCTCTATATGTCATCTGCTCTATACGTCAATTGATCTATGACATAACACGTCATTTTCTCTATAAACATTTTTATGACTGTGATGGTCCAATTGCTCTACTCAACATTTGCTCTATGAGTAATCACGTCATTTGCTCTATAAACATATTTTACAAACATCTAATCATATTAAAACTATATTTTTACAATTTTACATTTTACAGTTCTTCCTACAGTTTCATTATTCCGCCAACTTCCTGGAGATAGTTTTGTTTGTCTGGTATTTGTGCATATTGTGAGACCAAGCTAAATATGGTTTTCACCACATATTAGGTTTTTTTTACCCCTCTTATTATTAAGCAGTCTCTCTGTCATGATGAACTTTGAAGAACTGATTAAATCTGCAATTTGCGAATTTTCCAAAAAAAAACCGCATTTCACAGTCAAGTTACGCTCAGGAATTCCAATAAAAGCTATTTTTAGGTTATAGAGCAAATGACGTGTTTAGTCATAGAGCAAATGAGGTATAGAGCAGATTGAATATAGAGCAAATGACGTATAGATCAAATGACTTGATAGATCAAATGGAACTAGAGAAAATGGCCTTAGAGCATTTGGAAATAGAGCAGATGTCGTTGCGCCATTTGTTACACCCTATTTCTAAATTCTCCCGCTTTTATTCATTTTAAAGTGGGAGATAAAGAAACCTTTGCAAAAATGTCCAAAAAAAATGATTGTTCCTCTACAAAACTAATATTCCAAAATCTAATTTAATCGACGTCATTTAACCTTTCTCCGTTTTCCTGAAATAGGTTCCCATTGACACAGAAAATTTAATATACGTAAATACATACAAATCTAAAAGCCAGGCGCGCGGATATGATAGAAATCAATAATTTTAAATGTTCTATTGTTCTATCGTTCAAATATTAGGCTTCTATTAAAATTTTTAAGTGTGGCTCTATCTGTGAGCATCTTCTCTTTGAAAAATATAATAAATATAACAAAAAAAGTTTGCATATTTAATCTTATTTTTTCGTGGATTTTAAAAATTTTACAAAATTATATATTTATATTTATTCATATATATTTATTTAAAGAATCAGCTTCAAATTATGTACAAATATAGCGATGGGCAATAGCTACGTTTTACAGAATCTTTTAATATGTTTAGACTTTTAAAACGTTTTAAAACAGTATTAGAATGGTCCAAAGATTTAAAATTGTATTCTGCTGAAGTTTGCTTTTATCAAACATGCAAATTTGTCATCCTAGGTGAAAATATAAGGAAAAAACGAACAAAAAACTATCATTTTTAAAACACAAAAACGATCGTTTCTGCCGTATATTTTTTTCTATGGTATCAAATTTGCATGTTTGATAAAAGCAAACAGAATAAAGTTTTAAAATGTTGGAACCTTTTCATATTGTCGTAAACAAAAAAAGTTTCTGTTAAATGAATCTGGCTGTTGCCCATCCCTATATATATAGTCAATTATGGAGCAGAGTTAATCCCAGAATAGTTCGAGGATAGGGATAGACCGGTACGAATTTAAAAGAGCTTTCATAATACATAAAATTCACAGATGACTGTGCGGATGAAATACAATTATTATACCTGGGCAACCTCGGGAGATCTTTTCTTATTTCGGAGACTTTCAAGAAATTCTTGTTCAAGCCCTTCCTGGGCATCGTCATAGGCATAGTGTGCGGCCAGCCTCGCGTAGGGTCGGTACATTTGGGGAGCAAAACTAGCCTCGCCACCGGCCTCCCCATTAACCGCGCTTACCTCTCTCTTCTAAACATTGAGATATTTCCAACCATGTGATTAAATAAAATTAAATTGGAGCGCACAAGATAGTGAACAATGTTTATTTGTATTAAACATAATTTAAAAACAATTTATGATGAATATTACGATATTACTTTTATATCAAATTCACAATAAATAAAGAAAATTCAAATTGTCATTAAAATTAGAAAGAATTTTTTATAAAATAAAGTAATAAATTGAACAATGTTGAATGCGAACCAAGTGCTATGATGACAAAACCAACTATTCACCAAATATTTGATAAATATCCTTGATTAATGATGATAAAGAATCTAAACTTGAGAATGAATGCAAAAGTACTAAACTAAGCTTGCATCAAGACTTGCATTGACAATTATTCCTTTTCTTTGCAAAAGAAATATTGTAAGGGAATTGAGTTTTTGCCACAAACTCGGATTTTCTAATTTCAATATCGTTGCAACCCAATGTCGTAGACCTTTAATATTTCAAACTATGAATGCTATTAGATCAAATAATGTAAGTTTGAAATATCAAAGGTTTACATCATAAGGTTGCAAAGATATAGGTTTTACAAAACTGAATTTGTGGCAAAGACTTAATTCCTTTCTAAACGATCTAAATACATTACAAGAAACAATCAATGCATGGGGTAAAATGTAAACGCTTATGATTAATTTTGAGGGCTGTGAGCTTAGATTAATAACAACACAAACAGAACACTAGATGTCGTCTTTTCAAGATTTAGGGATTTTTCGTTCACAATAACCCTGAGGAAGAATCTAAAAGGAGTTACGCGCATGCTGCTTTGAATTACAAGAATTTTACGTTACATGCACGTAAGTCAAAAGGGCTTCTGTCTCAGGTTTCTTATGAACAAAAAACCCCTAAATCTTGAAAATATGACATCTAGTGTTCTATCTGTGTTGTTCTTAATCTATAGCTGTGTGTATGTTTTTCTAATTAAACTATGGCTTACATTTTAAAATCTGGATTCAAGCCATAGTTTAAGTAACGGGGACAAAAAAACAGATGAACAAACTCAAAAACGAAAAAGTGCCCTACATTTTTTAACACCCTTTATGTGAGAAGGGACCAAACTACAAGAATTTGAGCTAGGTCGCTGAACCAGCTGTAGGTACAGGGTTACCCACAAGTAATGAGACTGTATAAAGACGACTTGAAACTTATCAAATATTACGATCCCAAGTTTAAATTAAATCTTCTGCCTTAAATGTCGTCTTAACATGTCTTATAGTTGAAGGGAATCCTGGATACAAGGCAACAAGTTAGTGTAATTTTATACAGCTGTCTCTGAAGTCTCATCCTGTGTGATGAACCTGTAGTTCATAGAATTCAGTCTCATTGTGTCCAACATAGATCTGAGGGCAAAACTTGTGAACTTCGGCTACCCATCCCATTGCATAGGTGGGAAACTTTGACAACTTTCCCCCAAAAGTTAAGGAGCTAAACTTCCGTTTGAGAAAAAAATTTAAGGAATTTGTAAATTTGTAAATTTGTAAATTTGTAAAATGATATCGAGGTAAGTCGCTTGATGCTGAGACAGTTAATATAACGCATTGTAATGTTCGCTAAACTATACAATGAGCCTGTTCAAATCATAAATACTAAATCAACAATTAAAATCCTCACAAATCTTTACCCTTGAATTGGTGATTCAGGAATTGAACCAGCGGCGGGTAGTTCAGACACCTCTCTCTAATTCATTAATTGTGGTCACAAAATGACCCCCCCCCCCTCTCGCAGCATTTAAAATCGAAGACGATATAAGTAAAGACAACCTTTATAAGATCTTACGAAAATAGAAACATTTAATCTTAATAAATATGAAATTTTCCCTGTCCGCCATAATTCCGTCAAGCGCACTGTAAAAGAGGATATTTAATTTTTTGCAACTCCACGCAACTCTTACCAAATTCATCAGCAGCAGTTCAGCAATTAGATCAGCCATGTCAGTCTTTCCAGCATCTGATCAGGAAAAATAAAATTAAAACTCAAACTTTCCAGAATAATTGAAATTCTTATTCTTTAATTTTCATTTGTCATTAAGAGAAAGAGTTCAGAGAATTTACTGAAAGTTTCTCTTTGATACGGTAAAAATACTTCAACCAATCTAAATGTATTCATATATGTGAGATTGACTGTACAAAAGGCAAAATAAAAAAAAACTATAATTACCTGGCAGTTCTCTAGTGTTTATACTCCGGCCAGATCTGTAATAAAAAGATAAATGTTAAAACTAAAATTTAAATAGTAATTAGTCTGGGAAGAAAGATTTTCGTTGGATATTATCGGAGACGACCCTTCATGATCATCTAATCGAATGCATCTCGAGTCTCATCTTCACGATCATCTAATCGAATACCTCTCGAGTCTCATCTTCACGATCATCTAATCGAATACCTCTCGAGTCTTATCTTCACGATCATCTAATGGAATACCTCTCGAATTTCATCTTCACGATCATCTAATCGAATAACTCTCGAGTCTCATTTGACTTTTTTTATAGTTGACCCAAGTTTTATTGGAGACCCTAAGAATTAAACACCCCCAAAATCACAAAATCTTCCAGGGAGACCCTATGATTTTAATCAGAGACCCCATGGTTTTCTCAAAGATCGCAAGGTTTTCGTAGAAAAATTTTCTTGATACCCCTAATATATATATATTATATAATTATCATATAATATATATAATAAATATTGTGGGTCTCCGATAAAGGTCAGTTTTGTACATTGATCTCATATGTAACATATGGATATAATTGGTCATGTGGAAGCAGCACCCGACCCCCTAGTCTGTTCTAGCCGCGGCGCTTGACCCCCTAGCCTGTCCTAGCCGCAGCGCTCGACCCCCTAGCCTGTCCTAGCCACAAAGCTCGGCCCAAAAATTGGCTTAACCTAACCTAACCCTAAAAAATAAAAAAAATAATAATAATAATTTTGCTGAAAAATAAGTGGTCATGTCCAAAATTGATAGGAGGTGGGATGGGCCAGGTGGGTTGGGGGGTCCAAAAATCGTTCTCTAGGACAGACCCGAGATTTGGCTGCAGCATCCAGTCCCCAAACCTATTCTAGCCGCAGAGCTTGGCTCCCCTAGCATGCTTAGCCGTAGCGCTCGACATAAAATAATGCTGTTGAAAAATAGAGTTGAAAACGAGATCTTGTAAAAAATTGATAGCGGGTTTGGGGAGGATGCAGGGCGGAAAGAGGGAGTCCAAAGTGTTTTATGACAGACCCAAAAATTGTAAGATGGCTTGAATACCAATTGAAAACTTTCAAGTAAGACTTTCTTGAAAGTTTAGAAATTTACGCGATTAAAAGAGAAAAATTGTTGCATAGAAAAGTAGCAGATATTTTAAGGATTGATATATTGTTTACCGTTGTTGCAAAGGTATATCAGGGGATCGTGGGCCGGAGCCTCCAACTTGCCTCCGAACAGGACCATTTCCTCCGAACCAAAATCCAAAGGGTAGATCAGAATTATATAATACAATATAATACAGGGTGAGCAAAAAACATATTCGAAAATACTTTCTACTTATTAATATTGTCGCATAGGATAGAAGGCTGGCCGTACCAATTCAATGTAGCTCTTTACTTGTACATTTTAACATTTATCATTGTTGTTAGCTTTGGTTTTCAGGAGGGCATTGTCAAAATTCTTCGTTTGTGCGTTAAATCAAAACTACAGGAGCTACGAGGTCACAAATTCGTACCAATAATGTCGTATATCATTGATCTTTCCCCTTGGATAATTCACAGTGACGATGAATGACAAATAAAAATTCATTACTGGAAACCCTTCAATTTATAAAATAGAATTTCAAATAGAATTCTGAAATGCGTTTAGATTTTTGTTTTACACCAAAGCTTGATTTTCTGGAGTAATTTTAGAAAATGCTTAAACTGTGCTTTGGACTAAAAGTCGATCTATGTCAAATATTGATAAAATATATAAATTATAAGTTTCGAGCTCTAATTGCATATTATGCATTGTTCCATATTAATAGTTGCTTTTAAATCTATCTACAAATATAGTATAGCGCGATTGAAAATTTTGCTCATCATTTTGCGCTTCAGGGGTATTTTTAAGCGGTAAGGAAACTTATAAACTGGTCACAAATTGTACAAAACGAGTGCATAAAACTGTTTTAATATGAGGAACATTAGAAATGGGCTCAATGAAATATCTATTGGTTTCTCTTGGTAGATCAAATAAAATTCGAATAGCAATGTTCAATGAATGAATATTTAATCCTAATTTCGTAGTATTGTGACTTATTAAGTAGTTTCATATTTTATGTATACAATCCTGTTAAATAGACGGAATTCATGGTAAACTAATTCAAACTCATTCTTAAAAATATTCTTAAATTTTTTTAAATCCAAAATATTTCCATGGATGGTCTGCTTGTCCCATGGAAAGGTTAACAATGAATGAAATGGAAGAATTGAGGTTTATGTATACAATTTATACTCCTCAGGGGAGGGAGGGGGGTTCTCTTTAATCCTCGGTCTACCGCCGGGTCACGGCAAACCTCGGTAAACTGGTCCCAACCGAAGTCACTTCATCATTTCAAGAGAAAAACTTCGAGAAAAGTCTTTCACTTGTGTCTGCAGGGGAGCTTAAAAACAAAATCATTTTTAGCTAATGTTATAACTATTTTTAGCTAATATTATAACTATTTTTAGCTAATATTATAACTATTTTCGACTAAAAATATATATTTTTTACCATAGTCATATTTTTGGTCGAAAATGGTCATATTTTTTGGTTGTTTATATTTTTGTCATTATAATTTTTAAGGTTATATTATTAGCGTTATTTTTCCCCACCCATCTCTGGATTCAAAAGTTCAGGATTCTGATTGAAGTTTACATTATCATGAAAAACTACATTGTAAGAAAACCCCATGATATATCACATATCATATTCATTTTATCGATATAATGAAAGTATATTGAAAAAAACAAATATTTTTTTAATTTGAGAGGGAAAAATGTTAGGAATAAATTACAAATGTGTATTAATTAATCACCCATGAATGTATACATCCCTTTTTATTAGAAAAAGTTAAATAATTATGTTACAAAGACTAAAGTTCCCAATGCAAATACAAATAAATAAATATGATATTATTGTTTATGTAATCATTATGTAATGACATTTTACATGCAACTTTCCTGTGAAGAAATCTTCATATTTTGTTTTCAGATTTTTAGGATTTCAAACTGGTTTCTTTTAATCTTTAGTAATCACTCAAAATTGCCTTGAATCTTTAAATCTTTATCTTTTTTAGGATTTCAAACTGGTTTCTTTTAATCTTTAGTAATCACTCATAATTGCCTTGAATCTTTAAATCTGTTTGCAAATTATCTTTTTTACAATTAAAAAAATGATCTGTTTCTAGAATTTAATGAGGAAAACCTAAGCAAAAACTACACAAATCAGTTTAATTGAATATTTTATATTATATTATATATTAAGGTTCAGACAAACTTTTTTTAACGGAATATGCCATCTGATCGGCCGGTCATTTATTTCTATCATACTCTACATCATACTTCATTATGATATAACAGTTTGTTTCGTATCGTTAAAAACTGTTTAGTTATTGATTAAAAACAATATTATTTCCCAATTTTGTAATTTAAAGATAACTTTTAAGTTTTATAAGATCGATATTATAAAAGCGACAAGGTAAATACAGATTGATAAAACGACTGTGGAGTCCAAATGCCATGTGAGTGTTTGACGGACAGAACTGTCTTCATCCATATTTGATAATTCGAACACCTTGTATAATCTCCATAATTATCTTTGCAAATTTAAATATTTCTCTGACGTCTGAGTTTGCTGTTTTCTTGAAGAAATAAAATATTACAGATCTAAAAATACTTTTCCCAGGAATATGAAATTATAGTTGTCAAAGTTAGTAATTATGGAGTAAAGTTGAAGGTTTACTTGAACCATATTTTTAACATTAACCTTCTACAGTGCATAATTTAGTATTTAGGTAAATAAGAAATTAGGCTTCAGCAAATACTTCTATAATAGGAAATGTCAACTTGTCAAGCATGAAGTAAAAAAGCAATATTGTTTGCTTATACACGTGTATACAGGGTTACTTAGAAAGGATGAGGCTTTAAAGAATTAACACTGCAGGGAGATATATGTTCCCTGCAGTTTTAAGCTTATTTCTTCTCCTCTGCAAAATTAATTAGTTTAACATTTATATTGAAGGTAAAAAGGCAAGGTCAGCATTCCTTTTATTATATTTAAAGAGTTACATAAAGCTGCTATGAATGCCGAGTAATTCGAAAAAGATCTTAATGCCGTATAATGTCGTCATTTTAGTTTAGTGTCCAAACTGAGACTCCCTGTTAACAATGAAAATAGATCTCTGCAAGGATGTAATGCAAGGAAAGTTATTTCAGAAGTGTACGCATATTTTGTATTGCAGTGTACTGCCTCTGGGCGGTAATGTAAACACAAGACGGATGTTACAGCCTGACATGGGATCCATCTTTCACATAAAAAAAAATCAATGAAATATTCTGGTCATAGGAAACTATTATGTGAATCATCAAAATTATCAAAATTTAATGCTTTAAAGCTCCTCGGATACTAAACGAACACTGTTGCATTTATTCTTGTTTACATATTCCGCCCAAAGAGAACTGGTTTCAATATGTACACAGAGTATACATGACCGCAATAACTTTCCTTGCATTACATCCCTGGGTCTCTGTATTAATTTTTAAACATGAAAACATAAAACCCATACATTTAAAAAAGTTTTTGCTTTATACAGTATACACTATGCATTAAGTACAGTACGCTTTATACAGTATACACTATGCATTAAGTACAGTATGACAATAAGAAAGTTTCTCTTATGTTGTCTATTTTCCGAAATCTACAGAAATACTCAGTAAGTAACCCTCCATGTAAACGGTATTAAATTAGATCTTTTAATGTGACTGAAGCGTAATTTCAAGTAACCCTCCATGTAAACGGTATAATTGTATCTAATCATTCCATGTGGAAGTTATTTTAGGCTTAGACTTAAAAGTATTTTATTTTGATAATTCCTACATAAATGCTGTGGAAATGCGAAAATCACATTTGTAGAGAACCCGCAATTGACAGTAAAGTTTTCAAAATTATAATCATCGATATTTTCTTCATTCTTGATCAGAAGCTTTTAAGAATCTCGTACATTGTGATTCGGACAATACCTTCTTTGCATGGACATGGTCTCTCGAATATGCGGTTTCAGTTACTTTCAGTCATACACATGATTAGCACGAGTTTCTTTGCTTTATCAGTGTTAAAGAAAATTGCTGCAAAGCAATTGAGTCTTTGCATTGCCGCAAACTCTGATTTTCTAGTCCCAATATCTTTGGAACGCAATGTCGGAAACCTTAGATATTTCTAACGGTGAATTCTGTAAGATATAATAATCTAAGTTTGCAGGTTGCAAAGATATAGGTATTAGAAAATTTGAGGTTTTAAGAAAGACTCAGTTCCTTATATTATAATCATTCATCAAAGGTGTACAAGTTCGTTAGCTTCATAGGTAGTGGGAGAGAGGTAGGTTTCATATTAGGTATAATACTGACTTAACCGATTTATATTTTTATCCTCTCTTATACAACATAAAGAATTGGGTCTTCTCCGCAAACTATAACTTTCTAATCTCTACATCTTTTAAACCTGATGGTGTAAACCTTTAATATTTGATCTAAGAGAACTAAGGCCGAATTTAAAGAATTTAAGTGGCGGCTCAAATTTAAACTGCCGCTCAAATATGGTTGGTTTAACTTAAAATTGTATTCAATGTTTCAAGATTTAAGCCGGCGCTCTATTGAAACCGATCTTTGGCAGATTTAATACGCGGCTCAAATTCATTAAATTCGGACACTGATCGCATTAAGTTTATGGAAGATTAATGATTATCGAGATTAGAAATTGTGGCAAAGACTCAATTTCTTTGAAATTTACAGTTTCTAAAGGGATATAGTTATTACACATTTTTGATATTATTCGGCTGATGTACATAATAGCCTAAACATATTCCATTTTTTGACAAATTACTTTAAGTATATAAAATAAAACAAAATGTCATGATTTCGAATTTTACGGATACCTGCTTCCCCCCCCCCTCCCCATTACATCCTGTCCCCCCCTTCAGATCCAGGTATATTGGCTTGAATTCAAGGCAGGACCCTCTACTGCCTGCTTCTGTCTGGTTTCACGGCCAGTGTACCCTAACAGACAACGTAAATAAACCTGATATTTACTGTCATATCTTCTTGTTTTTCAATTGTGTTCAAAACTACGATTTCAGGGCAGCGCACTAAAAAACAGCTTTGCTAACTATACACTTTTGCTAACAACAGATGGGGTAACGGAGCTGAATACTTGTCTCAGATTCTATTACTTTTATCTTTACATGCAACATGATAACCT